CTGTTGTTATTTATTATAACTGTTGTTATTTATTATAACTGTTGTTAGAGCAGAAGCTCTTTGGACTGCAGCTGTCTGGAGTGTGCATGTGTCACTTCACACTTGGAGCATCTCACTCCTCCGCGGGGGGTTCCCCTGAAAACCTCCACTCTGAGACCCGGACTCAGAAACGTTCAGTTCCAGAGGATGAGGCCGATGAACGTTTCACGTCGTGTAAACGAGGCCTCGGACTGACTGTCCTGTCTGTCTGTCAAGAGAGAGACACATTTCAGAGATGGATGATCGTCTGACTCGATTTTTTAATACATGTGATCTACCGGTAGATCACAATCGATGTATTGTGCACCCTCGACTTAGTGTCTCTCTCTGCTATAGGACGTGTGATTTCCTCTCAAATCCCCACCCCGAAGTGCAAATTACCACTCAAACTTGTTTTTAGTTTTCTACATCGCCTTACAACCTAGCTGTTTTTGTTACTTTTTTTAAAATACCATTTTATTTTCACTTGTTATTCTCAATTTGTGCACATTCTATTGTTGTCATCACTAAACCAGGTCTCTCTTGTAAATGAGTTCCCGAGGCTCAGTGGGATTAACCTGTAGAAATAAAACTGCCATCGACTTCCTTCTATCGTTTTTACTGCAGAAACCTTCAGCTGTGACCATCAGCGCTTTGTTTACGTAGAGTGCGTCAGAATTTTATCAAAATGTGGAGTAAACTCATTCCAAATGCACCTTTTGATTTTTGTTTGATGCCACAGCTCGAAATGAATCAAACAACGGCGACATCATTTTAAAGAGTGCGACCCCTTCTCGTCATTCCTCCACACACGCAGCATTTAGCACCAAGTCCTGGCAGGAAATGAGGGAATACTTGGGCCTCCAGCCTTGTAATTAGACGTCGACAAACAAGACGCACCCTCGCAAACAAGAACATACCACAAACACAAGACCGAGCTCCTTCTCAGCCCAGAAACTGGTTTCCTGGGATAAATGTTCTTTATTACAAGCAGCTTCAGCAGTTTTCACTACACACACACTCAAAGCACTTTTTAAACCTACAGCAAAGAAACAAACATCTGAACGACTCGTGCAGCCGAGTAGAATTATTCATCACCTAACGAGTTAAACTGATCTTAAATATCTTAGTTCGTGTCGTCACTCAGGAAGACTTCCAGGCACACGGGAAACTAAGAGGAGAAAAACAAACCAAAGCAAAAACGTTTCAATTGTCCAAAGTTCTGGTTGGTTGAAGAAAAGCTGGAGTAAATGTTGAACAGGTGCGCTCAGGTGTTCACTGGTGACACCGTCAGGCCTCCCTAGGTCCAAAAGGATCAGGGAAAAGTTCATCCGGTTGAGTCCAGCAAAAGAATTTCATCAAAACCCACAAGAGGCGTAAACGCACCTTCAGACCGTGACTGGTGATGGATGAGACGCAGCAGAGTGGATCTATAGGTCGACTAAAAACGTGAACCCAAAACGTCGTCACGTTGTTGTGAAGTTCTCGTCAAGCGACTCGAGGGGAGCGTCTCAGGATCTCAGCCATAAAATCGTTCAGAGGCCTTCGAGAGAAGACGCAGCCAGGAACGCCGAAGCACAAAACGTTTCCAGACGTTTTGCTCGTTCAGTTCACAGAACCGTGTCTGAGCCGTCAGTTTGCTCACTTCCTGTCATTTCACTTCCTGGATCTGGAAACTGGGATTTTTACAGCTTGAACTCTGCGTCCTGTCCAGCTGTCCCCTTCTGCCTCACCACCTCGCAGACAGTTTGAACCAGTGTGGTCTGTTAACTCTCAGAGTATCTGCTGTTGATGACTCTCAGCTACTACATATGTCCCTGTGATGAACTGAGATCTGTCCATTTTGTCCCTGTGATGAACTGAGACCTGTCCATATGTCCCTGTGACGAACTTAGACCTGTCCATTTGTCCATGTGATGAAC